AGGTCAGAAAGAGAAGAGAGTAAGGAGCACAGAGAAAGATTGTAAATAACTAGAGAGCTTGTTTCCAGGAAATTTATTGAGTAAAACAAATACATATAAACCTGTTTTCTGAGATAACAACAAAATAAAGTTAAACGTAAATCAAAACTCAAAGTTAGCATAACACATGTTACACAAATATAATGTGAACATTTGGCTTTTTAACATTTTATGTGCTAGAAAATACATCTTGAAATACTTATAAGCAAATATATAATTTACCCCGGAATGATAATGAGTATTGATTTCAAATAGTCATAAATATTTTTTGGAGTTTGATACTAAATTATAAACTAATACAGTTATGATTTTTCAAAACAGCAATCTCAAAAGTTTCCTTAAGCTATTTAAAATCAATATTATAGAAATCAACATTATTGACTAAATAAATTACATTGTAAACGTATTCTTATTATTTTATTTTTATATTTTAAATATATACTATTTGTATAAATGTTTTAAAAGAACACAATCCTTTAAATTCTCAAAGGAAACTTTTCCTCGACTTTTTTTCCCCGAGAGATTTTACTGAAACGGTGATACATTCCCAAAATCACATGCATATGTCGTTAAAATGTTTTACACATTCAATCAGAGATTCGCCGAAATTGAAGAGTTTTTAACATTTCATCATAATAATTATACTCATGATCACTTGTATCGGAGGCGTTTTTAAATTTTCGAATAATAACAGTTCTACTACTTTTTTTTTTGTTGAGCAAAGTCTATTGTTTCATTAATGAGAGGTACATTTTCGCCAATATAGAAACATCTTATGAAACCTGTTTGTGCATTGTTTATTATAGATTTTATAACCTTTAATTTTATTTGCTATGGCTTTTGTTTCAATATTGTATTCTACATTTAACAAACTTATAGGTCGCCAGTTACTTAATATTTGCGTGTCTTTATTTGTTTTGGTAAAAGATAAATAATACTTTGTTTCTGTAAAGTTAAAAGATTACCTCTATCATAAGAGTAATTTATATATTGAATAAATATGTGTTGATATCAGACCAAAATTAACGTAGACTTTAGACATAAAGAAATAAAAAAAATAAAGTATAAAGATAAGATTATTTACAAAATAAGCAGATACTCGAACAAAGCTTAGTAAACATACAAATGCGAGCGTTTTATAACCAGAAATAATATGAAGACGAGAATGATCTTGTTTCTACATATCGAGAAGTATTTATTATAATTGTAATGCGAGTCTTGTTCAAATGTAATCTGGGCGTAGGGATTTTCATAATACAGGATAAAAATAGACGACAAAATTTAAATAGTATGACAGTATAAATGATGAAATAAATAAACATAAATTACAAATTGATCAATCTGAAACTTACCAGACTGAATTACTGAAGGCTCTGTAGTTGTTGTTGTTGTTTCTGATGTTGTTTTAATAGTACTAGTTGTAGGTTCTGTAGTTTTACTTGTTGAAGACTCTGTTGTTGAAGTACTGGTTGTAGGTTCCTTAGTTGTAGTACTTGTTGTTGGTTCTGTAGTTGTAGTACTTGTTGTAGGTTCTGTAGTTGTAGTACTTGTTGTAGGTTCTGTAGTTGTAGTACTTGTTGTAGGTTCTGTAGTTGTAGTACTTGTTGTAGGTTCTGTAGTAGTAGTACTAGTTGTAGGCTCTGTAGTAGTAGTACTAGTTGTTGGTTCTGTAGTTGTAGTACTAGTTGTAGGTTCTGTAGTTGTAGTGTACTAGTTGTAGGTTCTGTAGTTGTAGTGCTAGTTGTAGGCTCTGTAGTTGTAGTACTAGTTGTAGGCTCTGTAGTAGTAGTATTACTTGTTGGTTCTGGCCTTGAAGTGCTAGTTGTAGGCTCTGTAGTTGTAGTACTAGTTGTAGGCTCTGTAGTTGTTGTAGTACTTGTTGTTGTTTCTGATGTTGTTTTAATAGTTGTAGGTTCTGTTGTTGTAGTACTTGTTGTTGGTTCTGTAGTTGTAGTACTTGTTGTTGGTTCTGTAGTTGTAGTACTTGTTGTAGGTTCTGTAGTTGTAGTACTTGTTGTAGGCTCTGTAGTTTTAGTACTTGTTGTAGGTTCTGTTGTAGTAGTACTAGTTGTAGGTTCTGTAGTTGTAGTACTAGTTAATGGTTTTGTAGTTGTAGTGCTTGTTGTAGGTTCTGTAGTTGTAGTGCTAGTTGTAGGCTCTGTAGTTGTAGTGCTAGTTGTAGGTTCTGTAGTTGTAGTACTAGTTCTAGGTTCTGTAGTTGTAGTGCTAGTTGTAGGTTCTGTAGTTGTAGTGCTAGTTGTTGGCTCAGTAGTTGTAGTGCTTGTTGTTGTTTCAGTAGTTGTAGTACTAGTTGTAGGCTCTGTAGTTGTAGTGCTAATTGTAGGTTCTGTAGTTGTAGTGCTAGTTGTAGGCTCTGTAGTTGTAGTACTAGTTGTAGGCTCTGTAGTTGTAGTACTAGTTGTAGGCTCTATAGTTGTTGTAGTACTTGTTGTAGGCTCTGTAGTTGTAGTACTAGTTGTAGGTTCTGTAGTAGTAGTACTAGTTGTAGATTCTGTAGTAGTAGTACTAGTTGTAGGTTCTGTAGTAGTAGTACTTGTTGTAGGCTCTGTAGTTGTTGTGCTATATGTAGGTTCTGTAGTTGTAGTACTAGTTGTTTGTTCTGTAGTAGCAGTACTTGTTGTTGGTTCTGTAGTTGTTGTGCTAGTTGTTGGTTCTGTAGTTGTAGTACTAGTTGTTTGTTCTGTAGTAGCAGTAGTTGTTGTAGGTTCTGTAGTTGTTGTGCTATATGTAGGTTCTGTAGTTGTAGTACTAGTTGTTTGTTCTGTAGTAGCAGTACTTGTTGTTGGTTCTGTAGTTGTTGTGCTATATGTAGGTTCTGTAGTTGTAGTACTAGTTGTTTGTTCTGTAGTAGCAGTACTTGTTGTAGGCTCTGTAGTTGTTGTGCTATATGTAGGTTCTGTAGTTGTAGTACTAGTTGTTTGTTCTGTAGTAGCAGTACTTGTTGTTGGTTCTGTAGTTGTTGTGCTAGTTGTTGGTTCTGTAGTTGTAGTGCTAGTTGTAGGTTCTGTAGTAGTAGTAGTTGTTGTAGGTTCTGTAGTTGTAGTGCTTGTTGTAGGTTCTGTAGTAGTAGTACTAGTTGTAAGTTCTATAGTAGTAGTACTTGTTGTAGGCTCTGTAATTGAAGTGCTAGTTGTTGGTTCTGTAGTAATAGTACTAATTGTAGGTTCTGCAGTTGTAGTACTTGTAGGGTCTGTAGTTGTAGTGCTTGTTGTAGGTTCTGTAGCTGTAGTACTAGTTGTAGGTTCTGTAGAAGAAGTACTAGTTGTAGGCTCTGTAGTAGTAGTACTAGATGTTGGTTCTGTAGTTGTAGTGCTAGTTGGAGGCTCTGTAGTTGTAGTACTAGTTGTAGGTTCTGTTGTAGTAATACTAGTTGTAGGTTCTGTTGTAGTAGTACTAGTTGTGGGTTCGGTAGTTGTAGTACTAGTTGTAGGCTCTGTAGTTGTAGTACTAGTTGTAGGTTCTGTAGTTGTAGTACTAGTTGTAGGTTCTGTAGTTGTAGTACTAGTTGTAGGTTCTGTAGTTGTAGTACTAGTTGTAGGTTCTGTAGTAGTAGTACTAGTTGTAGGTTCTGTAGTTGTAGTACTTGTTGTAGGCTCTGTAGTAGTAGTACTTGTTGTAGGTTCTGTAGTTGTAGTACTTGTTGTAGGCTCTGTAGTTGTAGTACTAGTTGTAGGTTCTGTAGTAGTAGTACTAGTTGTAGGCTCTGTAGTAGTAGTACTAGTTGTTTGCTCTGTAGTAGTAGTACTTGTTGTAGGCTCTGTAGTTATAGTACTAGTTGTAGGTTCTGTTGTAGTAATACTAGTTGTAGGCTCTGTAGTTGTAGTACTAGTTGTAGGTTCTGTAGTTGTAGTACTAGTTGTAGGCTCTGAAGTTGTAGTACTAGTTGTAGGCTCTGTAGTAGTAGTACTAGTTGTAGGTTCTGTAGTTGTAGTACTAGTTGTAGGTTCTGAAGAAAGTGTACTTGTTGTAGGTTCTGTAGTTGTAGTACTAGTTGTAGGTTCTGTAGTTGTAGTACTAGCTGTAGGCTCTGTTGTAGAAGTACTAGTTGTAGGTTCTGTTGTAGTCATACTAGTTGTAGGCTCTGTAGTAGTAGTGCTAGTTGTTTGTTCTGTAGTTGAAGTACTTGTTGTAGGCTCTGTAGTAGTAGTACTAGTTGTTGGCTCTGTAGTAGTAGTACTTGTTGTAGGTTCTGTAGTTGTAGTACTAGTTGTAGGCTCTGAAGTTGTAGTACTAGTTGTAGGCTCTGAAGTAATAGTACTAGTTGTAGGTTCTGTAGTTGTAGTACTAGTTGTAGGTTTTGAAGAAAGTGTACTTGTTGTAGGTTCTGTAGTTGTAGTACTAGTTGTAGGTTCTGTAGTTGTAGTACTAGTTGTAGGTTCTGTAGTTGTAGTACTTGTTGTAGGCTCTGTAGTTGTAGTACTAGTTGTTGGTTCTGTAGTTGTAGTACTAGTTGTAGGTTCTGTAGTTGTAGTACTTGTTGTAGGTTCTGTAGTTGTAGTACTAGTTGTAGGTTCTGTAGTTGTAGTACTTGTTGTAGGTTCTGTAGTTGTAGTACTAGTTGTAGGTTCTGTAGTTGTAGTACTAGTTGTAGGTTCTGTAGTTGTAGTACTTGTTGTAGGTTCTGTAGTTGTAGTACTAGTTGTAGGTTCTGTAGTTGTAGTACTAGTTGTAGGTTCTGTAGTTGTAGTACTAGTTGTAGGTTCTGAAAAAGGAGTACTTGTTGTAGGCTCTGTAGTAGAAGTACTAGTTGTAGGGTCTGTAGTTGTAGTACTAGTTGTAGGTTCTGTAGTAGTAGTACTAGTTGTAGGTTCTGTAGTTGTAGTACTAGTAGTTGTAGGTTCTGAAGAATGTGTACTTGTTGTATGTTCTGTAGTAGAAGTACTAGTTGTAGGTTCTGTAGTTGTAGTACTAGTTGCAGGGTCTGTTGTTGTAGTACTAGTTGTAGGTTCTGTAGTTGTAGTACTAGTTGTAGATTCTGTAGTAGTAGTACTAGTTGTAGGCTCTGTAGTTGTAGTACTAATTGTAAGTTCTGTAGTAGTAGTACTAGTTGTAGGTTCTGAAAAAGGAGTACTTGTTGAAGGCTCTGTAGTTGTAGAACCTGTTGTAGGTTCTGCAGTAGTAGTAGTACTAGTTGTAGGCTCTGTAGTAGAAGTACTAGTTGTAGGTTCTGTAGTTGTAGTACTAGTTGTAGGTTCTGTAGTAGTAGTACTAGTTGTAGGTTCTGAAAAAGGAGTACTTGTTGAAGGCTCTGAAGTAGAAGTACTAGTTGTAGGGTCTGTAGTTGTAGTACTAGTTGTAGGGTCTGTAGTTGTAGTACTAGTTGTAGGTTCTGTAGTAGTAGTACTAGTTGTAGGCTCTGTACTAGTAGTAGTAGTTGTAGGGTCTGTAGTTGTAGTACTAGTTGTAGGTTCTGTAGTAGTAGTGCTAGTTGTAGATTTTGTAGTAGTAGTACTAGTTGTAGGGTCTGTAGTTGTAGTACTAGTTTGTAGGTTCTGTAGTAGTAGTACTAGTTGTAGGCTCTGTACTAGTAGTAGTAGTTGTAGGGTCTGTAGTTGTAGTACTAGTTGTAGGTTCTGTAGTAGTAGTGCTAGTTGTAGATTCTGTAGTAGTAGTACTAGTTGTAGGCTCTGTAGTTGTAGTAGTAGTTGTAGGTTCTGTATTTGTAGTACTAGTTGTAGGTTCTGTAGAAATAGTACTATTTGTAGGTTCTGTAGAAATAGTACTAGTTGTAGTCTCTGTAGTTATTAAGACCATATACAATCAATTAAGATTAACAAATTGTGTTATATTTTAGAGTTGACTACATTTCTTTAAAATACTTAGACATTCAACTTAAACATTTATGTTGGCAGGAGAATTTTGAATTTCAGATACATTGCCAGCCTCTTAGAACCATTAGGCTTGGATATTGAAATTTTGTGATTCACTACGTAGACTTGAATAATAATTAACTATTGTTGCATATTACTAATATAAGACATATACCTAAGTTCACAAGGATGTAACAAATAAGAACTCGGAATACATATGTCATATTGATGACTTTTTGTTGACTCTGAAAATAGAAATTATAATGATTATTCAAAATGTTGATTAATGGTGATCTTTGATACTGTTCAAAATCTTCAGAACAACAACTTTTGGAAGAGAAAACTTTATTTTGTTGACGTGTTTTTGGAGGAATTGATATCTTTGCTGAAAAGAGGTAATTGCTCTAATGAGGGCGGCTTAACAAACGTTGCACTGAATAAAAACCTATGAATACTTTATTAACCAAATAGCTGTTGCAAATGTATGTTAAATTCTTTTGGCATTCTCAGATAGTGATAGTAAAATAATGAAAAGGAGTGCTACCTCGGAAGCAAGAATATTGTATGGACATTGCAGGCTCGGTTTGATTATGTCTGTTCATGACAGATAATGTAAAAATGTAACATCTCTCATCCCCCCTAGCTCAGGCTTAAGCAGTTTTCAAATCTCAACACTAACATACTGGAATCGATGATCCCCGATCGTGTTGGTTTGAAAATTGCAAATTTTACGACAAATTTGCTATAGTATGTAATTATTGAAGGGTTATAAACTTTGTCTGTTATGGCGGTACTCAGGAATTATTTCAGATAAAGTCTTTAAAGGTTTTTTAAAGAAAAACAACATGAGCATTGCATATTCATAACAGGAGAACATCTAACGGGAAAAAAAACATTTCCTTTAAATATCGGCGGTAATAAATTGAATAAAAGTATACTGTTTTGTTTAAGAAACATGTAGAACGTTGTGATCCCATCACAGATGTAAGTGCACTCTATACAAAAATCATTCGGTACATACTAAAGCGGAATATAGAATATGGTTTGGACTGAAATATAAAAAGGAAATAGGAAACCTTTCGATGTTTTTAATGTAAGTATTTCAACAGTGTGGCTGTTTTACAAAAGTTTTATCAGAACACAATATTTTCCGGTATAGTGACCTAATAGTTTCAAAAAAAACTGAACTGAAAAACATTATTTATATCCGTTACTAAGTATGTCACAGTAGGTTTTTGCGCGGAATCTTATCATATGGGTGTACTGGTGGGCAAATAGATACATAAACATATTGTCAGAAATTTTTGATATTATAGTTAACACTTTAACATTACAATGATTATAATCAAATTTGGTTTCCTTCGAGTGTCACATGAAAGAACATTTCATTTATACATGTAATTAAGTTTTAATGCCCTCTCTACTTGAAGAAATGAAAAGACTAAAGAACAACATGTGTAACATCATGGCAGGTGAGCAAAAGCTTATGTGAGTCTGGCATTTTCAATTAAGTTTGGCTCACGTACAAACCTCAAGGTTATTCCATCTAAATCGGCTGCGTTAAAAAAGTGAAAAACACTTTGCTTTGAAAATAAGGTAGACAACATGTCAACCTGATAAAGATTAAAGATAACAGATGTCAGACAAAATTAACTTTACCATGAAGGGAATTCAAAAGAAGTAATATGCAACCAGCTGGGTTATCTTGGTTCGTTTGCGTTATTTGAAAGCAGTATGCGTATAGATCTACAATGTTAACTTTTAAGAAAATTAAAAAAATCTGGTGACTTAAAGTTGGCAACTGTACAAATCAAGTTATTTAAAAAAAACATCCATAACTATAGTCAGAATATGCAAGATTTTCATTTTCATGATATGTTATGTATCATTTTGTAAAAGGACAATGAGATTTTTTAGTAAAGAAGAAGTAGTTTATTGTGAATACGATTCTCTTGTCTCTTATCAGTATTTTGTAGAATATATGTGTACACGTTTTATAAAAGTGTTTGTTTAAACTGTGTTTACTCAAATCATTAAATGAAATAGATATACCACCAGAAGCTTAACCTGTGAAAACCAGACAAGATTATTCTATTTATAGCTCTGGTGGCAAGTATGTGCATCGAAGCGAAACGTGCCGACCATATGCACGACTAGGGATGGTACTGATCATTCATGTAAAGTTAAAAAAAATACCATCAGTAGTTTGCCTTTTGAAGGCTGGACAATATCTTTCTATTTTTAGCTCTTATGGCCATTTTGTGCAGCGAAGCGAAAAGTGCCGCTGATGTGCTAACAATTATGGATGGTACCTATCACTCCTGAAAAGTATGGTTTAAATCTCACTAGTAGTTTGACCTGTAAAGGCCTGAAAAGATTTTTCTATTTTTAGATATGGCGGCCATTTTTGCAGCAAAGTGGATCATGCCGGTAACACAACCAGAGATGTTAATGATTACTCCTGTAAAGTTTGGTTGAAATCCCACCAGTAGTAAGGCCGGACAAGATTTTTCTATTTTAAGGTCTGGCGGTAATGTGCACAACTAGGGATGGTACCGATCATTCCTGTAAAGTTTAGTTGAAATTCCACCTAAAGTTTGACATGTAAAGTCCGGACAAGATTTTCCTATTCTTAACTCTGGTGGCCATTTGGTGCAGCGAAACAGAACGTGACCGTGATGTTCACAACTAGGAATGGTACTGATTTCACCCGTTAAGTTTGGTTAAAATCCCATCAGTAGTTTGACATGTTAAGGCGGACAGATTTTTTCTATTTTTAGCTATAATGGCCATTTTTTGTGCAGCAAAGCGTAAAGTGCTGGTGATGTGCACAACTAGGGATCATTCTTGTATAGTTTGGTTGAAATCCCACCTGAAGGCCGGAAAAGAGTTTTCAATTTTTAGCTGTTATGGCCATTTTGTACAGCTAAGCGGAACATGCCGTTGATGTGCACAAGTAGGGATGGTACTGATTACTCCTTTAAAGTTTTGTTGAAATCCTACCAGTAGTTTGACCTGTGAAGGCCGGACAAGCTAAATGCGGACGGACGGACAGAATGTCGGACGGACAGACGGACGCACAGACAGACGGCGAATGCAAAAACAATATGTTTTCCAAAAATTTGGGAGACATTATAAATAAAGACACTCTGTAAATATTATTTTTCCATCAAATGGAGTGTTTTATTCAGAATCTGCAAATGAGTGTGTCCTTATGTAGAATCTACAATTTAGTGTACTAATTTTGAATCTCAAATTGAGTGTCCTGATGCAGAATCTACAATCAATTGTGTGTCCTTATGTAGAATCTACAATTGAGTATCCTAATGCTGAATCAAATATTCTTTTATGTATGAGCTCGAAACACTCAAACGAAATTACTGTTTTGATTTTTATATAAACTATAATAGACCTTTTTAATATATCAAAAATGCTTTTCTGGTATCAATTCATTGTAAATGTATACGTTTATATCATCTTTTATTATTTAAAAAGCTTAATATCAGTGTAAGAGCACTAATATCAAGCTTGGTCTATTCGCCTGGATTTGTAAGTATCAGTGAAGTTCTATTTATAATTTCTTTGAGCTTATCAAACTTAGGATGATGTCATGAACTTCCCATCACCCTAGAATCACAGTATATGAACGATTTGAACCCCAACCGGATCTTGTGAGAAGATGTCAGTGTCAGCAATTTTCTGTCGCTTAACTTATTTTGCATAGGTATTTATGTCGATACTTATGGACGTTAGGTTAGTAAACCTATATTGTAGAAGAGAAACTTTATTATTTTATTAATAAACGTCCAAGTTATGCAAAATATAAATGTTAGCACTAAGGCTATAAAATAATCGAAACTCACGAACAACTTTCAGGTGATCAACACAACAAAAATCCGTCTTATGTCAAGGTTGATTTAGTTAAACATTTGGTTGTAATATCGAACTAATAAAGCTATCAATAACAAACGATAATTTAGTCATCTGCAAAAAAATATTGCTGTATTTTGAACATTAAATTAAGAGTTTGACCATGGTGGTCAATTCCGTAAACTGAACGTTACTTGCTTGTGATTGTGAACCCCATTTGTAAGTTCACAAATTTTATCTGTACCCTGACTTGTGAGTATTTTTAAAGATTTAATGCAGAAAACGTTTATGATAAAACATGGTGTCAACACTTATTCCACAGACCCAGCATTCACGTTGTGTTTTCATTGTCGTGCTTTTAGTGTTGTTACAATAAGCTACTGTCAAGACCCCCGACTACAAATGATTAAGTTACCTTATGTATACACTGGCAAGAATTTAAATTATTTAAAAATAAGTGGTAATAAACTTGTATGAGTGAAAACTACCTTTTAGGCATTTAACAACAATAAACAGGAAACTCCTTAAAATGATTTATAAAAGATACACTATGCTCAAATTTTATATTTTTAAATATTAATATTTGCTACACAGTCTCTTTATCAATATAGAACAAACATGTTTTGACTACACACAAAGTAGATATTTTATGTTTTAAATCTACACACTAAAGGTGGACACAATAAGAACATATACTGTCATTAAAAAACTGGCAATTTTTTCAAGAAAAGACCAACTTTACTTGACCTGTAATAGGATATGCAGCTTCCCACACACAGTTTGTACATTCTTTTAAAACAAGACATATTCAGGAAGAATAACATAGATTTCAATTTATTTCTGGGATGAAAATATTTTACTCTAAGATGAGCATAGTATATATATTCGTACCTGTCAGGAATAGATAGTCAAGGCATTTCTGAGAATATAAAACCGTGTTTTAAAAGAATAATGAGATTCACGGTAGGTGTATAGCTTTTCAATATGTTGAAATAAGTTATCTGCCAAAAAATCCTGTGATGATCTTTCGACGTAACGTTATACATGTATAATTAATAGTAGACGTTTATAGTACTTATGATATAGCTTAGCTTTATACCTTTCCAAAGAAAAATGAATGGTAAATGAAGATGTGATTTATTTGTTATCTTATCTCCTTGCTGTTATTTCCATAGACAATGAAAACATGATGAAGCTCCATTCGTGTGCAGTATTGGTTAGTTCTATAGATCTAACAGATGCGTCATGCTCTTGTGGCATAAAAGCTTCTGCACGATAAATTTGGAACAAATGACAAAAAAAAGAAAAAAATATAAACAGTAACTCGCAAACTATGGTTCAGTGAAAAGCGCATGTAGGGTACAGATCATTTAAATTGTTTAACAAGGTACAGTTATCAAAAAGTTCGCCTCTATTATTTACTAAGTTTTATCAATATTCAAAGATATCTATACAAGTGAATATGGTAAACACAATAAAGTTAAGATTCAGATATGTGTTATAGTGAAGTAAAGTAATTTTATGCATAAATTTGCTTGTATAATCGGCATGTGTTGATAAAAACAAAACATGAAGCGAAAAGCACAGCGTTTTATGTGCATATATTTAACGAAGCATGTTATGGATGCATGAATAAGCAAAGATAAACTATTTCTTAATATGATTCAAATATTTACATAACTTCACAGATTAAATGCAAGCCGTCTTTAAAAGTTTTATGTGTCATCCCGCCTGTTTGTAAGTAACTGATGTTGAGATCTTCTTACAATATCCGGTTGGTGAACAAATCGTTCATATACTGTGAGAATAATACACTTTGAATGACAAAATCGTACTTATGAATTTTGCAGTTTGCGGAGAACAGGGCAATGTTTATACAGAAAAGTAAAACCTCTCAAGGTTATTTAATCGTAAATAAAATGCGGTAATAATTATATAACGAATCTTCCAACATACGATTTACATTAAATAGTCGACTAAAATCCACATTGTATCAGGTATACGCATTAGATAGTCAACTACAATTTGATTGATTATCAAACAAACACATGGATATTAGATGCAGTATTTGAATTTATAAATAGCATCGGACGTTTCCACTAGATGTATTTTATACTACCAACATTTAATATACTGCAATATCTCCAATTTGACCTCTGTTCGTTAGTCTGGTCTTTCCAATATTTCTTGTCTTCTTTTGATATATATTTTATATACATATAATATTTTTATGGTTAGCTTGAAATAGTTAATTTCTAGACTCTTGCTAAATTTGCTTTAAGTGCCAGTCTAAATATAAATATACTTATTTAGTTTCATTTCTAATTTCTTTTTCTTTCTTTTTTTCATTGTTTATGTTTAAACTAAATCTTGCAATATTCTTACTTAATAATTTAAATTAAAAAGCTATCCTGCCATATATGTTTGTGTAAATATCATTTGTTATCTAGGGAGAGGAACTATATAAGTTTTTTTTCGTTCTAATCCCTTTCAATTTATGTAACAATTATACATATATAAAATGTAAAATATGTAAAATATTGAAATAAATATGTCTAAACTAACTACCGTTTGACAACACCTCATTGCTGCTGTTATAAGATTATTGTTTAGTGTTGTATTAGTATCATTTTCTTTCTTGAAAGTTCGTAGATTAACAGGTGTCTTTTTTAAAAGATTTATGATTAAGAAAAGTACGTTTTTCCTGTTTATTAACAAGCAAGATGTACTCTATCCTTTATTCAGGATCAATATCTGTGTTACATAATAAATTTCAATTGTAACTTAGACCTTGTATTAACCAGTCAACTGTTTTATAAAGTGTTTTATTAACTTTGGTTTTATTATCTACGGATAATTTGCATATCTTTTGTTATTACCAAAATATGTCTAAATCATATTAAATTTTATAAATGAAATAAACGTTTCGGGGATGAATATGAAATATTTTACATCCTTTTACCACACTATTCAAACAACTGAAGTAGCCACCAATACTTTATGATATCAATAAAAACTAGAGCTATGTCGTTGAATTTTACAATACTGTAAAAAATTAATTCTCTTTTAGCACCGCAATGTATAGAAGACTAGTCTCGCCACAATTCGTAGTTTTTCATCTACTTAACCTTTAACTAAAGCAAAATATTCAAGTTGAAAAGGAATATAACTGATCTTGGGACATAGTACAGATGCCTGTGTTTTACCTACAGGGGTTTACATACAGCTATTAAATACGCACAATTTTACCTCCGGATTATCTTTCATGTCAACAACATTAACAATGTAAGTGACGTAAACCTCACATGGACCAACAAAATTAGGGATTATGTTACCTTTATTTACATTGCATTATTTAATTCCCATGGATATCGAAATTAACATCTCAAATTCAATATCACGCACTGTATCTCTTTTTTTGCACCCGTTTGTGGGCAAAATATAGAACAGTATCATTTTAAAATACTCAACAAAACTTCCTAGTTTAAAATAAATATGTACATTTGCATTAAGAAAAATATTTATTCTTCAATTTACATAACATCTCAAATTCCATATCACGCATTTGTTTCTCTCTTTTTTGTGCCCGTTTGTAGGTAAATTTAGAACAGTATCATTTTAAAATACTCAACAAAACTTCTTTGTTTAAACCAAAATATGTATTTTGCATTAAGAAAAATATTAATTCTTCAATTTACATTTATCCTTTCCTAACAGACTTTTTCATAACTGTATTGATTGTGTAACTTTTCGGTGTAATTACCTGTATGATGATTGAGTAACCTGTATGATGATTGAGTAACCTGTATGATGATTGAGTAACCTGTATGATGATTGAGTAACGCGTGTACGTACACGTTCAACCCTTTGATCTCAAAGTTTCTTAATAGAAATGCCATGCTTTATGTTTGGTTAGACTTTATTAATTAATTAATTATTTTAACCAAATCTTACGAATCTAAAATTAATCATTTTAAAGCAAATATTCTATTTAAATTAAGTTCATGTATATAAGGTTGCCATGAAAATATATGATAGTGTTCACATATCTCTTTTTTCTATCATGTAATACCGTATACGAATTATTTAACTGTTGCAAATAAAGGTCAATTAATCAACAAAAACAACACACTGTGATTTTGATAATGAGTATACCAATGATGATGATAATTATGATAAAAACAATAAATTATTGTAAAAATGATTTTAAATAATAAAATATAACAATATTACTATAATACAACCGAAATGCTTCCACATGTAATAATAATAATAATTAAAACAATAAATTCATTACCGTTATCATTTTGCTACGATTAATAATAAACATAATTACAATAAAAGTTGGAATAACAAAATTTTGATACTAATGTCAATTTATTTCAAAAACGACAATAAAAATATAGATATATAGAAAAAAAGCAGACTTAGATAACCTTTCCAGATTTTTATACTTAACAAAGCCACATGTTCAGTGAAGGAGATGTAAAAGTTTCCCGTTCTCCACTTCAGTGTCTTTATATTATTAACAGGTGACATCCGGTCGTAGTTTCTAAAACAGTTATATAAAACACACCAAAGGGATCAACTGTATATATATATCAATTATATAAATAATTTTTCAAGACATCGAAATTGCTACTTTGAATAATTTTTATACAGTTTTTCTCAAGTTATATAAACACGATAAGTTAGAGTGATGAGAAAAATCAATAGACATTTGCCCTGTTTACTCCGTTGCCCCATATATATATATATATATATATATATATATATATATATATATATATATATATATATATATATATATATATATATATATATATATATATATATATATATATATATAGACAAAACGGAGAGATATTATATACAATTGTTTTCTTTGAATTTTTTAAAAATACTGTAAGTTTGTTTATACCTATGTTCAACCAAAAGTAAAAACAGCTTGTTTTGATATCTTGAACAAAGTTTTAATTGCGATATTTCGAAGAATTGGATGAAGACAAAACATAGTGCACCAGTGATATTTATACTATAACGAGTACAAAGTAATCACACTAATAAATGTATTTGCCCTGTTTACTCCGTTGCCCCATATATATATATATATATATATATATATATATATATATATATATATATATATATAGACAAAATGGAAAGATATTATATACAATTGTTTTCTTTGAATTTTTTAAAATACTGTAAGTTTGTTTATACCTATGTTCAACCAAAAGTAAAAACAGCTTGTTTTGATATCTTGAACAAAGTTTTAATTGCGATATTTCGAAGAATTGGATGAAGACAAACATAGTGCACCAGTGATATTTATACTATAACGAGTACAAAGTAATCACACTAATAAATGTATTTAACCCTATCTATTACGTATTTAAATCGAATACATTTAATGACATTCCATCCTGTAAGAAATGATGAATTTAAAAGCATGTCTCATTTCATTTGATTTTTTTGTTTTGTTTTGGGGTGGGGGGGGCTACTTCGCACAAAAACAGTGTAGGTCATTATGACGATTCTTCAGCTTTACTGGGGGAGAAAGCTCCGGAACCAACATTTGCAAAATTGTTTCTGGCACAAACGGGCATCTGAGTACTATGCGTGTGGTTTCGTAGGCTATCTTGATAGGACCGTACATACACGTTCGAAACACACTCATTTCTGAACATTCTATCAAATTCAAGTATACTTCTGTCATTATGTATGTTATGTAATAGAAAGAGCATCGAAACTCGAGACTATCTGATTTGTACGAGGGGGCGTAGCCCCCGAGTATTTATCAGATTGCCGAGTGTTTTGATGTTCTTTTTCTTTTCTATGATAGGAAAAATTAAATACTAGTTCCCTGTTGTAACAATATGAAACCCTAGAAAAAAGTAATCTTCTGAATGTGGCATTTCTATTGTTATTCCTTTCTCCGTCGTCTCAAAAAGTAAACCCCAGAAAAAAATGATTCAATCAATGTGCATGCTCTTGAGTGCGGGTAACTAATACCTGCACTCCAGTTTACGCACTGTGCACGTTTTCAATAGAAAGAACCCCAAACTATGATTCAATAAATGTTTATGATTGTATTAGCAACTTGTTTAGAAGTTAATGATTTTTCGGTGAAAATGAATCGTTTAGTTTTACTACAGATAAGATCAAAGTGCTGAAGGCACTGGAAAAAAACGGATAAACTAGCGACTTTCAGTAACACATTTTCACTCCAGTTTCACAGGTAAATTAATTCTATATGTCAGGTTTTATGTCTAAATATCAGTATATCTTTGCTTTTTGAGACTTTTGCTTTTGAAAATAATCTAATCAAGTAAAATGAGCCCTCTTTTAGGGGCAAATAATTTAATAAGTAGCAATCCCCGATTTCTCTTTCATAAATTTGCTTTATCAAATTCTTTTCTATTCAAATATTAAGAACATTCTGTTTACTACTTGAAATCTTCCTGGGTATAAAAACAAAGATGCGTTTTGTTTTGTGAACATAGTTAATTTGCCGATAAAGATTTTGCAAGCAATCTGGTGTACCTCTCTTATATTTAGTGCTAACACTAAGTATTTAATTCCACAGAAATTGTCCTCGGGGACCTTTAACGTTTGATTACGGTAAAATCACTATAACCGAAATACTTACGAATTAATTGTAATGCCTGTAGCTGTGATATTTTCGTTCACGTGTTTAAAATACTAAAGAAAGTAGCTCTATAAATTTTCAAAACGATATCCAGTATTTCCGAAACAATTTACAAAGGCTTTTAATACACTATCTCATAAATTTTCGTATTATGAGTACCACCCAACTTATCTCCAGAACATACATATGGAAAAAAAGATCAACAAAGAATGGTAGCATTCAATGAACGCAACATCCAGACGATCAAGCAACAAAGAGCATCAGCTAAGTTGTCAATGAAAACCTTACTTTCAGGCTTTCAAGTGGCAAATAACAAGACAAAGCAAAAGAAAAAGAATAAACAGTAAATAAGAAAGAAAAGATGAAAGTAGGGTTAAAAAAGACGGGAAAAGTAAAAATTTCAGTGCTATAAAGCAGGAAAAGTAGGATTCTCTTCCTAACTTATTTATGCAATTAAATGCACCTGATCAATATTTATCCATTGCATTGCTTTGAAACCAGTCACTCGTGTCTAAACAAGATAGTCGGGAAATGAACCTAAACTTTGAAGTTTTGATCAAATCAAAATATTAACAAAACTATTAACAATGAGCATGTCATGATAAAACATGCTATTTGGAGTAAAAACCCAGGTTACGATATGCATCGCCCCTTTTCCATATACAGTCTAGGAGTTGGAAGTGTTTTAAAACAAAGTTTAAGCAATGGTTATTGTATTAGATTAGGTTAATATCTTACTGAATTCTTGAAGTTACTTTTACTAACCTGCCCTTCACTTTTGTCTTGCAAGTATCATGATTTTGTTTGTTTGTTTAATTTGAAAGAAAGTTTGGGTTAAAGAACAACAACTATATAATCAGTTTTAAGTTTATTTCAATAGTCACGACAATAACCCTGCTATGGTAGCCCGTTTGTGTCGGGGTCTGCGTCCTGTGAACGTTGCCGTCGCCTTGTTGATCTTTATTCCAGTCTTCTTTTGTTTACTCTTATCCCGCTCTCAATTTCTTTTTTCACAGGGAAGCTTCAATGTATCGATAACATTAAAGCATAGATCAATTGACCCATCACTAGTACGGAGGCGTTCCAATAATACAGATATTCATGAAGATATCTGCTAAAGCATACAACCAATACTGAAAATAAATATATTAATAGAGCCAGAGTGTAACTCTTTTCCGACCTTCTTGATAATGATTACCATGTGCTAGATGCATGAAACAGGTATAATTTTCCTATAGTTTTAAATGTCCAGATCAAAAATGTAGTACTTTCCTTATCAAAAATAACATGTAAAATGACAAAAATAAAATTTCAGATACATCGATTTTGTTCTTGTTGAATATTCATTATATGCATTAGACAAACATAGAAATTATCTTATAATAAAGTCGATGCCTCAATGTCCTATAATGTGGCCCGATTCATTCCCTATTTAGCCAGTGCTTTCAGTGCTTTGATCCGGGTTAAAGAGAAAACGAAATCGTTTTCTGTGAATTTTGTATGTGTGTGCTTGTGATCTTTGATGCTTACACTACTCAAGGTCTAGTTCGTTGTATAAAAGGTGTTACGGTGTTGTTGTTTTTTTTCTGAACGGGTGTCAGATAAACCAAAGTGA